CTCACGAAAGCTTATGCTCAGATAAATTGGTTAGTGTCTCCAAGGTGCCACAAGTACTCCTTTTCTTTTTGACATTGCATTGACATTCGTTAACATGTCTGCTCAAAATCTTGTTTCAGAATCCTTTTCACAAAATCTTCTGAAGGAAACAGCTTTACTTTTGTAGATATAGTATGAGAGAGGATGTTCAGAAGCTTCTACTAATAATAATTGTTAAACACCTTCTTTAGAAATACGTGGTGAGTTCTGGTGCATCGCTTCTACATCCACTCTCCTAAAGCCTTTTCTCTTTCAGTGCTGCTCAGCAGAAATGTATTCAAGAAAAGGAAATGTTCATGTTTTGTTAGGAAACTTGTGGCCACTAGAACTTTTCTTAAAAACTATTTCTTGGAGTAAATCCATGTTAAATTAACTTTGGTGTAGAGCATGTGTTTGGAAAACTTAAGGTGAACTAGCAGGATCATATTTTACACACTAAGTACTCCTCTACTAAGCAGCCCTTTATTGCAAGATAGAAGAAACATTCTGAATGTGATTTAATATAATTTTTTTGAAGTCAGACAAAGCGATAAAGGTGATTGGTGTTGTGGCGTTCTTCCATACTGTATACAGATAAAGATTCTGGGAGATTGGTAAAATGGATTCACCTTGCTGTCAGTGCTCAAATTTGGTTGACTATTTTCTTGTTGTGAGGAGTTTTACCACTTCATGGATAAAATTCACCTGCTTCAGATTAAATTGGTTGGTTTTAGGGTGTAAGAGCTTTGGAGATCTATGATGCAAGTTGGGTGCACAATCTGCATTTTAGAACTATGCCCTGACAAGTTATTTAAATCTAGCACCATGCCATTAGGTCCTTTTATTTATGTAAATTGTCAGCAGCTTCCTAAACATACATTTTAGGCCAGTACTTTAGTAGTCTCCTGGTGCTGAGCATGACAGTTTTGTCTCTAATCTTCCTTTCTGGGAAAAGTCACCTGGGCTGGAGCAAGAGGAAATCATTCTGAAATAGTTTGTTAGCTAGAGTGTTGTCACTGTTCAATGAGTATTTGTCACATCCAAAATTTGATTATGGTAGTGCCCTCTATGTGGGGCTAAAACCATCCAAACTCCACCTGATGCAGATGCATATGCATACAAATACGCTTCTGCTAGGGAGGTAAAAGGTTAAACTGTTACGGTAAGCATTAGGCTTACCAGTTAACAAATGTTAACTGTTAACCCCAGTGTCCCTGCATCAGGAGGAAGCGGGGACCCTGCCATGCTAGTGTTGTCCGTCCGTCCCCCCCCCACCCCCAGCTACCTTGGTTAATAGGTTAAACTATATAATTGTGATCGTTTAACCGGTTAACTTTTTTGCCAATATTTACATCCTCAGCTTCTGCTGCGTATACCTTTTTGCTCCATAATTTGTACTGGCTTCCAGTTCAATTCTAAAAAGAAAAGGAGTACTTGTGGCACCTTAGACAAACAAATTTATTTGAGCATAAGCTTTCGTGAGCTACAGTGGTATGCAGCCGATGAAGTGAGCTGTAGCTCACGAAAGCTTATGCTCAAATAAATTTGTTAGTCTCTAAGATGCCACAAGTACTCCTTTTCTTTTCGCAAATACAGACTAACACAGCTGCTACTCTAAAACAGTTCAATTCTAGGAGCAATTAAAATGGGGCTGGTGGTGGTCAGTAAAGCCATATATAGTTTAAATCTTAGTGTCCCACTAGTTGATCAGCCAAAGTGCTGTCAAACTATCAGTCCTAAGTTAAAACATCTTGGAGATGGAGACAGGAGATTCTTAGTAAAAATCTGGAATTCTTCAATTTTCTTCCCAGCTGGTGGGGATTCGACCTTTGGGGCAGGCAGTAAGGCATATCTGTCTGAGAAAGCTTATGTGAGGGTGAGGTAGGTCTCTCTTCTGTGGAGAGTAGGAGAACCTTGAGTCCCTAAATTGTTAGTCTAGTCTGATATGGTTTTGTTGTCTAATGTTCTAAATGCTGTACACATGCTTGGAGTACAATAAATTCAGTCTGATAAATCTGAGAAATACACAAGGTGGAAATGAAGTACTACAACAGCAAATTGCTTTCAACTGACTTGCAGAAAATTTGAACAGAGCAGAAATAGGAAATGTTTCACTAGTCTCCAACCACTGTACTCATGAGTCCCAATGATAGTTGCTGAATATTTCCAGCAAACTGTTACCTGAAACCTCTGTCTGTTTTAAACAAAGTCAGTATTGAATATACAATTGCATTTCTGTCAATGGTAGTCGTTTTAAACTGGGAGAAATAAATGGGTATAAGTGAGTAAAATTTTGAAGGAGGTTTTGATTTCTTTTGAAAGGTTACCTATTTTAAACTAGTCTCTTGTGATATATTATGGTATTTCCCCTTAGAAGCAGCAGGGAGGGGTTGAAAAACTTAACATTTTTATGTACAGCATAAAGCTTACTTAAGTATCTATGTAAAGAGCAGTTTACTAGTTTTTTTTTTTAAGAAGTTGCTTCTGAAGAACGTTCAGCATTTACATGTTCATAATGGCTGCAAGGAGATTGCTGCTGTAGGTAGCTTAAATTGTACTTTAAGCAAGGCTCCTTTAATAAAAGTTTAAAGAGAGAGCATCAGCTACATATAGCCTTTCAAGTCATTTATACAAATAATATGCCTAGTAGTCTTATTCAAATGGTCGTAAATAGTCCATTTAAACAACTGGCTTGAGAGTATCTGGTACTAATTCAACTTTGTGAAAAATACTTAGGAATTTTCTTTATATGTGACACTTTTGTTGAAAAGATATAAAAATCTTATTTGACTAGATAGCTGCAACAGCAATAAGCACGGACATAAACATGGAGTGTCATACAAACCTGTAAAAACAATGTCCTCGCTGCAATTTAAAGATGCTGGCACAGATCGTTTTTAGATTAGATGAACCAGTTTTAAACATTACAATCATTTTAGGTAACTTGGTCTAAATAGTCTGACTGGGGCTAAACTGTGGTATTAGAAGAGACTAGGCTAGAACAGGATTTTTTTTTACAAACTGAGGGCCAAATACAATTTACTTAGTGATTTTGCTGATACACTGGAATGCACAGGGTAAAGAATTATGAATACCACATTTAGTAAGTACTTGTTAAAAAATACTAAATACCAAGGGAAAGCTGTGCACCTGGTGACCACTCTTTGTATAATATTTAGCTGCTGTTTCTTCATTGGATGGGCAGGTGATACTTAACATCTGGAAAACTTTCTCCCCATAGCATGGCAGAGGATGGTGTTCTCTGCCATTCCACACTAAACTAGTCAATTGTCTACATTTTGATTTACATTTTTGTTTAAAACAAAACAGGTTTTCAACCAGCTATAGAGCTGGTCAGGTTTGGAGGGTTTTTTTAACTATTAAAAACTTAAACCCTGTAAGTTACAAAATTTGAAATGTTTCACTGTTCTTTCAAGCAGCTCAATTTTGCACCTTGCTCATTCTACTGATTGCCTCTATTCCCTGCAAAATTCTTTTTGGTTTCCAATTGCTAGTTAATATCCACCTGGTGTTTGCCTCTGCTAGTTGTTGCTTTCCCATGTAGCAGCAGAGTTAAATTAACTGGATTCTTGTCCATTTCATGGCTGCTAACTTTGGAAAAGCAAAATGGAAAACTGACAACTTTTTTTTGTAGTTTGGGAGAGCTATAAGCATCAGCAGAAGCAAACACTGAAGATGGCTGCAGAATTAGGAAGACAGCACCAGTGAAAATTTTGAAAAAATGTTGTTCATTCATAACAGCTGGAAGCTTTTCTTTAACGTGAAAGCTTTGATTCTGACAAATTAATTGTAATTGGCCCCCATGTTCACTCAGGAAGGTGGTGAATTTTCTATAGGTGAGCAGATACATTTGTCCAAGACTGGATTCAGTATAGCCGGCACTGGCTATTCATGTGTCACTACTGAATTGTATGAGCTGCTAAAATGTTACATTAAGAGAGAGGTTAAAGTAAGCATCTGCTGCAGTTCCCATATTGATACAATGTAATTATGAACAGAACAGGAAGGCAGGGGGTAAAGTTTGAACGGGAGAATGTTCTGAAGTATTTAAAACATTTGAAATATTTCAAAGATATTAGCCAACTTACTTTGACACTAGTTGGTAGTAGAGATGCTGGGTATTCTGCTTCATGCACTGCTCTTTCTAAGCTATAGGTAGTATCCATTTTTCAAAAAAGTCTAACTTCCAGCTTATTTAGCATTAAGTTCCTTAGTTCTTGTTATTTTCATAATGAAAAAGGAAGGGAAGGAATTGTCTTGACATTGCTCCTGTTCTTTAACAAATAGCAGTGATAGAAATGGTGAAAAAAGCTAGAATCTTTATTCTAGCTCTTATAAATGATAAAAGAATTAGTTTCAAATGTATTTTTCTCTTTAATAGGAAAGGTAGCATTGATTTAGAAAACTGACTACTGCATCCCCTCAAGCAATTAAAATAAATGTGACCATACAATGAATCAAGATTTTTCCTGTAACTCTGAAATTCAACCTTGTTTAACAGCACTGACCTACTTAGAGTTGGAATCTTTAACAGTGTGAATACTGCATTCCTTTGAAATATAGACATCACATTTCATTAAAACTAACATAGTATTAATGAAATGTAATGTCTATATTTCAAAGAGGTATCACTGTATGTGTAATCTAAATATACTGTTGCACACCTAAAGTAAAGAATAAACCACACACTCTCTCCCAGAGGAAAGACTGAGAGGAACACATTGTTGTTCCTGTATAATTCAGTTAATTTGCCCCATGAGAAAAATGAAGGGGAGGGGGAAATGTGTACATAAATGTAAAACCTTACAAAAACTTGTAGTTAGAGTAACTTACTTTGAAATTAATCAAGCTATTTTTCTCTGCTCTCTAAATGTAATAATCTTTCTCCCCAGTTTGATTGTATATCTTTATGCTAGCAACTGTAATCCTGTAATGTGGTAACACTTTTTTTTATTATGCAGGTTGGAGACATTGTGAAGGTTACAAGGATGAATATAAATGGTCAGTGGGAAGGTGAAGTCAATGGCAGAAAAGGGCTCTTCCCTTTCACGCACGTCAAAATAATTGACCCTCAAAACCCAGATGAAAATGAGTGATTCCTGTTGCCCAGCTTACACAGCTGCTTCATTTTTCTGGCTATGATAAGCATCATTTGAGGTGGGGATGACGACTGTTAATGGCACATTGCTAGCATTGTCCATTTTTCTAGCTTGCTGCAGTTTGATGGTTCTTTTTATACACATTTGGAATGCACACCACTGAAGTCATACGCTGACCATACCATAGTTGCATCATCCAGACTGTAGTATCACTTCTAGAACTATTTTGGCCCTTAAGCTGGAGAGGACAAACCATATAGGCAGATAAGTAGGAGCAAGAAAATAATCTTTCCTGTTTGAGGCTTTCAGGAACAGCATGTTTTACTTACTCAGTAGGAGGGGAGTTCTAATCCTCAGATCAAATATGAAACTTTTGAATCTCTGTCCACCCAGAGCAACAACAAAACTGCAATTTTTTGGCTGAGGAAGGGAAGACCTGAATTTGAGATCAAATTTGTCCTAAGATAATATAGTTAAAACAAGTCTCTTTATAGATCAATAATTGGAACTCTTGTGTAGCTATTTTAACAAGGCTATTTTTGTGATACAACTCTAAGCTTGCTGTTGACTTAGAAATAAAGTTTGTGTGATTAAAGTAAAGACATTTATAAGAAAACTTTAGTTGACATTGTAAATGGTAGCCTATTTTGTCATATACATAAAACCGATTCTGCAGAATATTGAATGCAAATATAAAAGTTCCTGGATGATTTGCAAGCACTAGAACTGTAGAAACGAGCTTTAAAAGAGAAACACTTAAGCCTGGTCTACAGACTTTTGTACTGGTATAGCTCTTAAGGAGGAGTATAAGGTTTTTTTTAAACAGTTTTACTAGTACAACCTGGTTTGGGGGAGGGGGATGAAGAAATAAAGGTGCCTTATACTGACATAACTTATCAGTATAATTGCATCCACACCAGGGGGTTGTACCACTTTAAACTTTTATAGGTAAACAGAGCAACTTGTGCAGATGAGCCTAACTCCATGACCTTCTGCCTGCCTCTTTTTAAATGAATTTAAAAATTTAAATAAATAAAAATACATGTGTAAAATTATGCTTTTTTTTTTAACCCCTGGGAGGCTCTGTTTATATCTTCCCTACAGAAGATGACAACTCTAAATAACAGGAGGATGTACTCTTATCCACTTTAGGTATTAAGGATGCCTTCAAGCTTAGCAAAAGATGCAGAAATCAAAACTTTGCTTTCAGCATTTAGAGGAACTTATGTGAAACATTAACACTTAAAAGAATACATGTTCTGACATAAAATGAAAAAAATACTTTTAGGGCTGTTGAGCCCTAAGCATATGTTGCTCTGAACTCTGTATTGAAGTGCCTTGAAATTCTTGGAGAAGGCACTGAAGAATGTTTGTTTAAAAAAACAAATGTGCAGCCACTGTTCATTTTTAGAAAAGCATCTCAGCTTACCTGTTAATATTCTGTAGTGCTCATCAAATGGCTGACAGTCTGGAGAAACTCTTCTTAAAGCATTTTACTGCCAACCAAACTTACTGTGAAATAGAGTAGCATTGACTAAAAGTGTGTGGTGCTGTAGGCAATAACTGTTCTTTGCAATGGAAACAGTTATGCAGCTCTAGAAAGCGAGTGTCCCTGTTTGTGTCTGGACCCTACTGTAAGTTATGAAGCTCATACTACTGAAAGTTATCTTGTACTTAAATGGCACTAAACTCAGTCTGCAATAAGGATATCTTATTTTGGCCCTGGCCTAGCTGTTGACAGCTGTCATCACTGTAGAGTTTTTCATTTTTAAAAAAGTCCCTAAACATGATTAATTTGGAAAATTTATCAAAAATAAGCATTTCCTTACACCCTCCCTCATTGCATATACTGTGTACCTGGACCACTGTAAGCACTGTCCTGGGTTAAACTAATCTGGTGCTCGACGCAAACATCTCAGCCAGTGTCAATACAAGAAAACCTAAAAAAGTGTGAATCTAGTTTTGGACCACTTAAATGGCTCCCTGTGTCTACCACCACCTCTTTTACTAAAATTACATCAAAATGTCTTCATTATTTTCTGGAGACTGCATTTGATCAGTTTGTGTTTCTCCTTCAAAGATTGGTTTCTTGAGATCGTCTGTTGCTTTTCAGCACATCTTCAAAAATTCCTTGATAGATAACTGTCAGTGTAGCTGTTTGGAGTATAAAATATACTTAATTTTATCAAGTGATGGCTTCAATTTATGTGCCACATTTAATTTTTATGTAGGTGTCTGGGTTTCAAACTAGCAGTGTTGTCAAAACCATTAATCATAAAAGGTTTACTGTTTGTCTTTTCCTCTGGTGTACACATGTATATACATTGAAGCCTCTGATTAGAAGAGTTTTCATTTTAACTTTTCATACTGGTCAGTGTCTATCACTGGATAAGCACTAACTCAATTTATAATTGTTTACAGATCAGGCAGGAATAAATAAAGGGACTATATCCTGTTTGGGTTGGGGCTCTGATTATATTTGTAAAGGGAAAAAAATGCATTCTTTGTGCCATTTCATGTGCCTGTAATTAACTTTTTATATTGTATTAACATCCTGGGAATGAGTGGGCTTTTTGTTTATAGTCAAGTTTTCAAGTATCTGCATTTGAAAAAGTGAGAGCTGCCTAAAACGACAGCCTCTTGGGACCAGTAGAAGTGTTCCTGTGTAGTTGTCATTTTCTGTTTACTTACATTTTAAATGAAAATGTGTTCTGGGAAAAGGAAATTTTTGCAGTGGGAAAGGTGGCCTTCTATTTGAGACAGTCTTCACTGTGTAAACATTAAAACAGTATGTAATTTAAAGACCATGAACTTCAGGCAATAATAAGCAAGCTTTTAAAGTTTATTTTGGGGATCATAGCTTGTTTTATTTTTTGTGCTGTAAAATTAACAGTATTAAATGAATTATATTCTTAGAATACATGGAGTGTCTCTTTTTAAGACTAGTGCCTTTTTATTTTCTTACTCCACTTATTTCATAGTGCTGGTCCCAATATCAAGCCAGTGTTATTAGTGCCCTGTTTGTACAGTCTAAATAAAAACAAACTTGTAACATTATCTGTGGTCTGTACAGCTTTCTCCAATATTATTAGGGCATGTAAGTTACACCAGTGATCTTGGAAAACTTCAGCAAGGGAAGGGCCAAGTCTGTTTTAAACTATTTCCCCTGCCAGATGTGAGAGAGCATTCGCTGTTCTATAATCTACCCCCCACCCCGTTGTAAGGGAGAGAGAGTTAAGGAATAACTATTCTGGGCCCATTCAACAAGAAGCTAGAGATGGTTCTACCTCAATAGAGAGCATAAAAGAAAATAAGCACATTTAACATCACTAACCATAGCCTTTTCTCCTTTACCATTTTCATTGGCTCTCTGGACTACTGACATCTTGATACCTTAAGGGCCAGTCCAAATTTTTTCCTCCATCAGTGAGTATTCCCTGTATAAGCAGCCTTCCTTAAACCGAGTAAAGGATGAACTGTTTTATGCTGTGTACATCAATAGTTACACTTTTTTTAAACTTAGCAACAGTTGCCCTTGACTGCTGAAGATGCTCCCATAAGCAAGTGTAATATTTGAACAGACCATCCATATGATAGAGGCTTTCCTCAGTTTTTGATTACCTTAGTTAGCTGATGCTGGGAGTAAGTTCCCCTTTGTCCTCCTCCAGCTGCAGTAGAAGTGCAGTGAGTACCTTAACTTTGGATCCTTATGCTTCAACATATGTTTTTATGTAGTCATCCATGGAATTTTGGTAGTAAAAACAAGTCTAAAATAGAATATTAGCAGTTTATTCAAACCTGAACTGTACCATGACATGGGGGAAGATGGAGTAGCAGCTCTGAGAACACTTGTTTCACAGGTGCATTTAACTATCTGCTGGGTGGCACAAGGGAGGTGGGGGAAAATGATGTCATCCCATCATACGATAATGCAAATGGTTAATGAATTCACACAAGGCATTTGGACTTGGTAACATGCAACATTTAAGAAACTAGACTGATACACCACATTTACTCAATGGATTAAATTGGCTGACTGATTTCATAATGTAATTGTAACCAGGAACCATCATCAAGGAGGTGTGTTTCTAGTAAGGTCCCATAGGCATTGGTTCTTGGCTCTATGCTATTAAATATTTTTCTCCATGTCATGGAGAAAAATAAAATCCCCCCCCCCCCCCAACGTTTTCAGATAACAAAAAGTTTGGGAGATGTAAATAACTAAGAGAACAGGTCACAGATACCAAGTGATCCAGATCATGCTCTAAACTGGGCACAAGCAAATAATGTGTTTTAATATGGCCAAATATAAATGTAAGAAAATTCAGCCATGTTTACAAAATGGGGGACTCCATCCAAGGAAGCTGTGACTCTGGAAAAAGAACATGAGCTCCCAGTGCAATGCTATGGTTTTAAAGGGCTAATACAATCCTTGAATGCATAAATGTCACTCTCAAGGTGTATTTCCTCTATTTGGCATTAGTGCCACTGTTACTGGAATCTGTCCAGTTCTGGTGTCCACAATTCAAAGAGGATATTGAAAAACTGGAGGGGATTATAGTGATACTCCACTAGCTTCACAAAGAGAAGAAGTTTACAGCCTAGAAGTACCTACATGGGGAACAAATATTTGATAATGAGTTCTTCAAACTAGCAGACAAAGGCATAAGATCCAAAAGCTTCAGGTTGAAGCTAGACAAATTCAGATGGGAAATAAGTTGTAAATATGTAACAATTAGAGTAATTACATATTACATCAATTTACCAAGGGTTGTGATGGATTCTTCAACATTGGCAATTTTTAAATCAAGAGAGGGGTTTTTTTTTTATAAAAAACCCCCTACATTCAAACAGGAATTATTTCAGCGAAATTACATAGCTTGTGTTATACAGGAGGTCAGACTAGATGATCTCAGTCCTTTCTGACCTTAGAATTATTAAATATGATCAAAGAGAGCTCATGAGAAACTGTAGCAATGAATATTATTAAATAGTTCTCACTTTCATGATCAATAAATGTACAAAACAAACATTGCATCACTGGCTAGAGCCAAGCAGCATGTAGGCAAACAATCTGAAGTTTCCTGTGCCAGTCACGAACCTCATACAGGTCAACAAACGTGAACTTGGTATCTTACTATTTCAGCACCAAACAACCTAATGGACCTGTGATCATGCTACGTACCTCTTTTGCCAATGTTCAGATGAAAATAATGTGTTCCTCGTTTCCTGCCCCGGACTTCTGTTTCTCAACGCTCCCGACCCTGTGAAAATTCCACAAATCTCTGTGCCGGGAAAGGTGCACTGAGACACCCCCTGGGAGCTAAAAGCTGTCCAACAGGGGAACTATATCGCAGCAATACAAATTCTCATCATAAGAAAATGCCTCTTCCAGTAAGGCCCCCATGCTCATGATAGTCAGGTGAAGTGTGATTTTCATCATTCACATAAAATCAGTCAAAGAAAGATGCTAGTCAAGAGTAAAGGCCATGTGTCAATACATCCAGAGTGTCAATCACCCATCACTTTACGAATCATCATCATCAAGAAATAGCTGATGGAGATACAAAGTTTGCTCTTCCTGCTGCCTGACCTTCCATGTCCAATAGTGCTCACGATGGGTTGCTCCCAAGTGACCGGAACGGATATGTGCTGTGGGATTCTAATTTACATAAAAGGGTATGAAAACAAATTACTGACGAAAAGACATGTGGTATATGTGGGAAAGGGGGCCCTAGAGCTATATAGTGTTAACAGCCAAGGTGGGCTAATGCACATGCATTTCAAGTTTCCTCAGAGTCTGAAGTCTCTGTCTAGGCAATTAATCTGTTGCTGAAAACATGTCAGCAACAAGTCTACTCAGACTGATGAGGTAAGTGGTGTAACTGATGGTGTAGACAGGACAAAACTTTTCAGCACCAATATATACCATTACAGAAAGTATACTTGTGTGTAACTTGTCCATAATGGTGCTGAGAACAGTTTTTCCCTCTGTACATCAATAGTTAAAATATCTGCAGAACTGATTCAAAGAAATCCATTGCTGACAGCCATTAGCAATGGGTCTATTTCCTGGCATGACCAGGGCCTAAGTATACAGCTATTGCCAGCAATTGTCTTCCTCTGTTATTTATCTAAGTGGAGGAATATGGCTTAGGATGCAATAAATGGGATTTATCAAATCAAACAAGTGTAAGATGCATCTCTTTGCATATCTTCAGCCAACACAACTGAACCTAACCGACTGCATCCTTTCCAGCAGAAGGCAGAGTTGTTTATTTTGTTAGTGATTACATAGATGTAAGACAATCCGGTGACTAGTTTCTACTAGAACTCCTTTCTTGAGAGCAAGCTAATGGATTAGGCATGTAGGAAACTGTCTTCCTGGACTCATCTCTCTATAGTGCCATGAGATTCTATGTCCTATTGGCCTAACCCCCGACAGACATCCTCCCTGCTTTCCCATGGCCAGGGACACTTGCTTTCTGTTCAGCTGAGTCCCCAGACAAACTCATACTGTGAGGATTTCAGAGGTGGACGTGTGTTTATAAGTACATGCTTATTGGTATCAAACAGAAAAACATCTCTCTTGTGCATATTTAAGGCAAAACAGGTTCAAACCCCAAGCTAAAATTATTGCTGGTAAGGTTTGCAGGCGACAACAGTTGAGGGAGTGGTAAATCAGACAGATCAGTTCTGCCGAGTGATTGGGAAGGTGGGCTTACTAGAACAAATTATCTACTAAATACAGCCAAATGCATGTCTAGAAACAAAGAATGGGTCACACTTACATGACTGGAGAGAGTATGCTGGACAGCAGCAACTCTAAAAGGGACTTAGCTGGATAACCAATGCAACGTAAGCTTCTAGTGGTTAGCAACAATAAAGAATTTACCACCACCCTTAAATGTGTAAGCAGGAGCAGGGAGGTGGTATTACCAACACTGTGTACTGTGTTCTCTGTTAGCAAGACTACTAGCACAGTGTCTAGTTCTCACACTTCAACAAAGATGTTGACAAAAAGGGTTCTGAAAAGAAGCTATATAATTAGAGGTTTGGAAATCATGCCTTATAGTGAGAGGCTAAAAAAGAAAAAAGCTCAGTCTATTTAGTTTGAAGGTTAAGAGGTGACTTGATAACGGTCTATAAATAACTATGTAGGGAGAAGATTTTTGATAGCAGAGGGCTCTTTAATCTAACAAACAAAGGCACAACAAAATCCAGTATCTGAAAGCTGAATTTAGACAAGTTCAGACTAGAAACGAGGGGCACATTAACAACTTTGAGGGTAATTACCCACGGAATTAATTTACCAAGGGGTGTTGTGAGTTCTCCATCCCTTGAATCTAGCCAGGATGTCTTTCTAAAAAGACATGGTATAGCACCAACAAAAGTTATGGGCTTGATGTAGGAATTGCTGGGCAGAATTCTATGGCCTGTTCTATGCAGAACTACAGACTAGAAGTTCATAATGGTCCTTTCTGGCCTTAAAATCTATCAATCTATTCCTTCAGAAATAATGTAGCAAGACTTCTCTCTCCTGTTCTGCAGAGGTAACACCCACAAAAGCCTGGCTTATCATTTCCCCCTGTAGATTAAGTTAAAACATGCAACAGGACTGACCACCACCATCAATACCTAGAACAGCTCCATGGACAGTGGAAGCGTGAGCGTCCTCATCTTGTTTTGTCAATATACTTCATCCTTGTCTGGAATCAAAGATTCTGCTCATCTACCCACCTTGATTTTTGTACTATCCTCCATCCTATTTAAATCTTGATCTGTAAAGATAATGCCAATTGGGTTAGCGACATGGATGTTGGTCTCTTGGATGGAGCAACAAACTAATTTTCCACAAATCTGAGCAAGTGAACTAGTAACTAGAAAGAGTAGCAGTCGTGTTAGTCTGTATTTGCGAAAAGAAAAGGAGTACTTGTGGCACCTTAGAGACTAACCAATTTATTTGAGCATAAGCGTTCCTGAGCTACAGCTCACTTCATTGGATTCAAGCTCATGCTCAAATAAACTGGTTAGTCTCTAAGGTGCCACAAGTACTC